AAGGCCAACACTCCGGCCAATCTCCGTCGTGATACCGACGACGCAGTCCGTATCGACCCTCCGTGTGAGCGTCCGCCGACCCTCGGGGACGTCAGCCACATGGGCCGCCAGGCCCGCGCTGCAGCGAGTCCGTCCGCCGCGGTTCAGTGTGGCCCTCCCGTCGGGTGTCCAACGACCCCCGCTGGCACGTCTTAGTGTTGCCACCAGGCCAAGACCCCAGCCAAACTCCGTGTTGTCGCCCATGACCGTCCGATGACCGCCGATGACCGTTCGCCGATCGCCAGAGCGACCGCCGACGACCGACTGTCGACTGCCCGACCTCTGACGACGATCGACGACCGTCATGCCGACCGTCGGCGGACTCCCAGGGGAACCAGCCCCGTTGGCCACCAGGCCCACGTTGTAATCAGTCCGTCCGCCATGGTTCACTGCGACCCACCCGCCAAGTTTCCGAAGACCCACATTGGAACCGCTCCGTGTTGCCACCAGGCCAACACTCCAGCCAGCCTCCGTGATGTCGCCCATGACGTAGTACTTAGCGACCCTCCGTCTGAGCGTCAGCCGACTCTCAGGAGCACCAGCCACGGAGGCCACCAGGCCCAGGTTGCAGCACCAACCACGTGGGCCACCAGGCCCGCATGCCTTTCTTCCAATCGCTCAATCGAGGATCCGCTGAATGCCAACGGACCCCACGACGTCCCACGACCGCCCGCCGGCCGTCAAACGACAAGCCAGACGACGCCGACCCGAATGACGACTACATGCTGGCCGTCCGCCAGCCGTCCGCCACCCAACGACGACCGTCAGACGACCGCCGACGACCGCCAGAACGACCGCCGACGACCGGCTGTCGACTGTCCAACCTCTTACGACGACGATCGACAACCGTCTGCTACAGACGCACCAACCGCTCGCCGCTTAACAGCTTCCCCCCCCATTTGCAGGGAGAAGTCCTCCTGCGCCTCGCCGCCGACAGGCAGACCAGCGTCCGACGGCCGACTACGCCCGGCCGCCGCCCGTCCGACGACTGCCCGACGACCGTCGGACGACAGTACGCCGACACCCGCCGCCGACGGCCGCCGAACGAACGTCGACCGACAGACGCACAAGCCTGACGACCAGGCAGCCACACGCCGATGCCACCCCACCGCGGCTCCCAGCGACCCGCCCGCCGAGCGGCCGACGTGCACCACGGGCACCCCTTGGCAGGGCCTTCAAGCCCACACGACCGCCATACCACGCGCTGTCACGCACGCCCTCCCCTGCACCTCGTCCTGCGAAGGGGTGGGCGTGCTCACCCTCCCACTGGGCGCACCGCCTGCGCGGGCTCGCCTGGCTGGCCACCGCTGCCCGAGAGCTGGCCACTCCCCTCCACGTGCTGCTCCTCCCTGCAGCGCGCTGCCGCACTGGCAGCGACGAAGCCCGTCGCCCGCTGCGGGCCTCGCGCTCCCACGCCCCCCCAGCGCCTCCGGGAGCGCCCCGCAGAGTGGCACGCCACCGGGCACAGCCGCGCGGCGCAGGTCGGACCGCCGGCTTCCGTCGGGGACGCGGGGGAGGCGGGGGAGCAGCAGGAGGCGGAGGCAGAGGGCACCAGGCCGCCCCGCCAGCGACGGCCACTCCGCCGCACGCCGTGCCTGAGCATCACGGCCCCCCACGGCCGCCGATATCGCCAGGCCGTCGCGACATCTCGCCCTGGGCGCTCGCCGCAGACCTGATCCACCCCGAGTCGGTTACCGACCTCCGACCCGCCCTCGGACACTGGGGACTCCGGAAAAAAGCCCCGCCCTGCGCCGACATACTGACAGCGAGCCAGTGCCTCAAGCTACGCGCGTAAGCACTGCGTTCCCTGCCACGTGCCCTGCCTGGGACCACACGACTGACTCTGGCATACAGCTTTTATACCCTCACTTCCTGCCTTGACGACGCCCTCGGCGCCAACAGTGGCGCCACGGGCGTGATGGCCAAGCGGACGACGCCCATCACCGACGCCTGTCCTGGCTTGAAGCCTTCAACCACCGCTGGGGCCCGACGTACAACAACGACGACGTCTTCGTCCGACCCTGTACTCCGACGCCGTCTGTAGACTGACCGACGGATCGCTGCCTCTGGGGGGCACTACCCCATGCTCAATGCTGCCACTCTGCGCCGCTGCCATGAGCCCGTCTTCCACTGCCGTCCTTCATCTGCCTCTTCTGGGTGTTCGCCACCAGGCGCATCGCCCGCGCAAGGTCAGGACCAGCCCATACGGCCCATACGGGATATGGCTTGCACCGTCGTGTGAGGGCACTCGGGTACGCCCCGCGCGCAGGCTGCGACCAGGGGCCCGACTTCCTTTCGCACTGAAGCTTCCTCAGCTTTTCCGCACTCGGCCCCCCCAAGGGGGTTGTGAACCCCGTCGTGCGCCGAAGGGTGGCAGGGCCCCTGCACCTCCCCTGTTCTTGCCTGGGCCCCTCGCTGGTGGTCCCTCTTGGTGCCGCCGACGTGGGGCCGGGCGGAGCCA